ACTAGTGCAATAAACTAAGGCAAACAGTATGTATGGTGTATATCAATATAACACAAAGTGGTCTGACCTTTGAAGAAATAAAGAGAGAGGACTCGCTTAGATTAGCAAATGGCACTAACACATGAGCTGGCTGGCATGCATGCCCCTATGCTTCTGACCTCAAGAAGAAATGGTATAATGCACTTTACAGTTACATACTTGATACTACACACCCTGTGCATGTGAATTAACACCCTTAATCAGAATTCAATTACAATGTATTCCCATCAGCATGGGCTGTTTAATATGAATCCGTTTCTTACATAGCAGGAAATCTGTAATAAAGACGTTACAACTCAGACGGTGCGGCATTCGTTGCAAAACGAATTTCAAAGGGGATGAATGCAGTTTATAGTTCATGTTTTAAACATCTTCTTTCAGAGTGTCAAAACCAAATGTGTTGCACGTGAAACATGTTTATTGTAAATTTCTCTGTGATTCTATAGAGATGCTTAGGTAAAAGAGCTATAATTGAACAGAAGCTGCTGCCAACAAAATGTGTTCCAAAGCTACATCACAAATGTTGGACATCCACAAAGAAGTCTTCCACTATAAGACAAATAACATGTCCTCTTGGCCAAGAGGTCTTACTCCCGTCATCCGTGCAACTCCGTCACATTCCAAACCATACCAGCTATACAGTGTATTCAGATAATCTTTTAAATAATGTTCAACAATTCATTCTTCAGACTCGACTTCTTTTCCTAAAGTAACACAAAAGACATGGTGAAACGAAGCTCTCCGCTGTGCCGTCTTCACTGCAGCAGGGATTCGATCACAGCTTCGGGCTTTGCGGATCGTTTCCTGTGTAAAGATAAATACACGATAAGTGTTATCAACAACCTCAGAGAGCTTTCAGCGTTCTTATTTCTCAGAATAACCGTGTTTCCCGTTATCATGATATATCACGCATATTATCTACATTCTGTAAATGAATCATTAAAGACAGTGGCGGGACAGCCATAACCGATAACTCTTCGGTTTACTCAGAGGAGTATTTGATGTTGTGGAACTCAAGTTCACTAAAATTTGACTATCTTCGTGTAGAAAGTGGATTACCTTCGGCCAGTCTTGGGTCGGCCGCTTTTGCCACTTTTGGAGGTTCTGGGTCTCTCTAGTTTCATCAGTGACTGCCGCATGCTCTCCTCTGTGTAGGCCAGATACACATGGGACAGATCCACCTCAAACGGCTGCGAGAGGCAGGGACAGAAGAAGACAGAGCTCAACAATACATCGTCAAGGTGGGACAAGAGAAAAATATCAGGAACATGTCATTACACAAACAACAATGTTGGGCAGGAAAAACTCACATCTTTTTCTTTTTTGTCTGGAGCAGGGGTCTGTTTTCTCATATTGTTGCCAGTGTATGCCACGCATTTCTGAAAGACACGAGGTACAGTTCAAAGACACACACTGCTGAGAAGTAGTCCTGAACTCACGAGTTTGCGCCTTTAGATTGAATGCCCGTCGAACTGCAAACCACAGTGTGTGCATGAGATATGCAAAGTGAGCTCACCAGCTGCCATTCTCCGATGTCTTCATTCCAGTGCACGTAATTTTCTATCATCTCCTGCACAGAAAAAACATGAGAAAATATTAAAAACTAGAAGCAAGGAAGGACATAGTCACTTTCA